TTGTAGAAAAGTCCACTGTTTCAGGAGGAATAATAACAGTTCTTCTTTCCGAAGGGAAATCAATGTCTCTAAGCCATTGATCGACATTTTGCTAAGCTATCAGTTCTGATCACTGTGTAGTCACATGGTCGGAGTATATTACATTTATTTCCAGTTCAAGCTTCATAAAACAGAGATCATACAGCAGTCGTATATAAAGTACAAAATACATTAAGAGGTGAAACATGAACCCAGAAGAGAAGTAAAGCAAGAGACTGTTAAAACATATGAATCAACTCACAGATTATTAGAGGGCTACGCGCGGAGTGGAAAGAAGCACATGGTCACCGGCATGTCTTTTCTGAAACTGAGCCCCCGGCCCCTTTACGAATGCCTCTTTTCCGAACATGAACAGAAATTATTGGTAGTCGACTACAAACGCAAAAGCTTTCCATTCGGCGCATAACGCGGGCACAGTTCACTATACAATTATGAGTATATTATCAACAAATCTCGAACTCTAGTTATAAGGCGCACCTAGTCGTAATTGCACAATTTAGTATAGATAGATTCATCGAATTACAACGCTGTCAATCGCATTCGATAAGCATTCCGCACATAGGGCATAGCTTACGGCTGACCACTGAAATAGCTTGATTACAACATTGAAAAAAGACTAATCCGCTTTTATTTACTGCGTGGCAGTAACTATCTTCAAACTTACAAGTAGTTTCGAATCACATCACGTTCTTTATCAAGAACTGAGCGTGAAACAAGTGAATGGAGAAGTCTGCCAAGAGCAGCGCGATCCACTGGTATATCCCATTTTTCTTCGCACTAAAAATAGTATAAAAAAGGAAATCCAAAGGCAATTGCATATGACTGCACGTAAATATAATAACGCAGGTGTGACCCACCTTAACGAATCCAGCCTGAGCAATAAGATGATTCACTAGTTGAGTCGTGGTAGAGTTCGGCCGGCGGTGAACAGATTTTACTCGGACAATGATGTCGGCTATAAAAATTGACAATTGAAAGGAACAATTAGCTCCTATATGAACAGAGATGGCTAGGTAAAAGCAACCTGCAGTGCTCACGACTTCATCAAAAACTTCGTCAACAATCTCTTCCTTCTTGGAGCTTTTTGCTAAAATTGCTGCCAGTCTTAGGATCAAACGTGCCGACTCTTCCTGCGTAGCCGATTCGAATCGGTCCTAAATGGGTGGATTAGATTATGGTCTCACAATTTTTTATGTCTCCTTGTAAACTTACTACAGAACTCTCGATATCGTCCTTGCATGACTGGAGGAGCTCGCTGGGATCGTCGGACTAAACATTCGAAGCTGAACAAAAGCTTGGACAATTCGGTCTCCTCACCTCTTCATCACACCCTTCTTCCGCAGAACCTAACTTTACATCCCCTTCTTCGTCGGTACCATCACTATCACTGTCTTCGGCACTCATCTTTTCTTC